TATTTTTTTTTAACAAAGCAAATGTTTTAGAAATGGCAGAAAGCAAGGAGGCATTCACACTCTCAGCAGAGAATAAACAGCGAGAAGGGAAATTCTCTTCTGTATTGACTTTATGCCTCAGAATGCCAAACACTCACAAGCGATTTAGCTCAAAGACAACAGAGCTTCCACAACTCAGCAGAAAGCAGGGCCACTGCCAACTTACTCAATACATCTTCTCCAGGAAATGAACACAAGAAATCCCTACCTCTAAGCCCTCGATACAGCATAAAGATCCACACAGCTGGTAAAATACAACACTAAACACCAATTTTATTCTGTGGGTCTTATTGATCAGAAAATCTTTCTCAGTGTGGACTCTGGGGTCATGAAAATCTATTTCCTAGCCCAGGTCACTATACACACATTCACTATACACACAGCTAGGTTAATTAACTTCAGTAGTTTTCGTATTTAAAACTAAACTGGAGATAGTAACTATACCAGAAGATGGTTGTGGAGATTAAGTTAGAAAATATGTTGAATGCCTATTACTGCCTCTCTCACTGGGATTCCTCTTGATTAAACTTTTATCCTTGCTTTGGGGAAGGGTCAACATATGATTAAATATACAGTGGAGCTGTAAGTTCATGAACTTAATTCATTCCATGATGGCCACGTTCATGTTCATTCAGAGAAAATGGCCAGGGTCATGTTTGTCACCCAACATGGAGTTCATGAGCGGAAACAAAATTGTGCCGAATGCTTCTGTTTACAAACTGCATTGCTCACAAACAAAAGTACTCATGAACGGAGGTTCACAAATTGTGGGAATCTGTTGAAGACAGGAGGAAAAGACAGCAAAAGAACAGAGACAACTACAGAACAAACTGACAATAGGGAAGCTAGAAATTGTGTTCACCTTCCTATAATAGTGACAGTCAAGAGGATAGAGAGAGAGAAACAATTCAAAGTGGGACAGGAACAGGAACAAAGAGGGAGAGAAATACAGAGCCAGGAGGGAGAGAGAGAAAGAAAAGAAAAGAAAAGAAAAAAATATATACATACAAAACAAAACAAAAGTTCTTCCTCAGGATACGTCTCTGCTGTCCTGGTAGACAATGTGGGCAGCAGTGTGCGGGTCTAAGTCGATTAGTCTCAGCAAGCCAGCTGTAGTCTACTGAGATTTAGGCTGATTTCTGGCTGCAAGGTCCAAGTTGAGGTCCCTGACCTCCTGCAGGATTACACTCTGCAAGGTTCTACTGCAGGTTCCACCTGTCCTCCCCGCTGTGAGAGTCCAGGTTTCTATGGGAGGTGCTGATCCCACCAACATACCAACCACGATGGTCCAGTGTGCTTTAATTGAGATTTTCTTCACTTTCCCAGTGGGCTTCAATTTTCATTGAGGAGCCTCAGAGAGGCCCTCTCTGTTGTTCACTTCTGCTCTATCTTCTGGGGCTCATAACCATGACCTTTATGTTCTCCCTGGCGCCTCTGCTGTGGGGATGTCATGGTCCAGCTGGGAGAGGCCAGAGGAATGGGTTCTGGGCACGGGCTGCGGCTGCTGGCCTGAGCCCACATTTTTAAAGACAAAAAATTACCTTTTCAGAACAAAAGCAAGTACATGGCTACAGGGATAATGTTTTAAAGCCGAGCTATTACCAAATTGAGAACACTGTAGAAAACTGCTGTCAGAGAAGACTATCTCTAGTTCCCTTTCTTCTTTTCTTTCTTTTTTCTTTCTTCTTTTCCCCTTCTTTTCTTATGTTTATTAAAATGCTTGAAATGATCTAGTGGAAGCTCTAATTATGCAAAAAGAAGGCACCAGCCCAGTCCAGCAGAGGTAACCTTGAGAATGTGGAAATAAACTCTTCTGTACAGATAGGATTTGTTTCATTTTAAGGGACTTCTTTCTCCTCCTGGCAAGCCTGGAGACTGCAGATCAGATCTCAAGGCAAGAGGAGATGGGAAAAGCAACTCGGATCTAACAGAATGGTCTTGGGAAACATGGACACAGAACAGGGCCCAAGAAAAGAAAGCCAGCAAGGAATCCCCTGTGACAGCATTTGTCTGGTGGTCCATGGATGCAATGATGTCTGATACCAATTTCATACAGTTTAATGCAGTACAAGGACACAAAGCAAAGCCAGCAAAGGAAAAAGTCACATGGAGCAAAACTGGAAGGAAACTAGGCATAAACTTCTAGTGTCCTCTCCTAGCACAATCACACAGGATGTACTTCATTCCTCCAGCCACGACATGTGACAACGTATGAAAATCCTACTACCAGGGAACTGAGCTAGATTCCATGTCTACAGTTTTTACTGAAGCCAATCACACAGGAACTCTCTGCCTAGCACATACTAAAATTCCAGCTCCCAAGGGAAAGCAAGAGGTCAGCATAAACCACATTGTTTGTATAGACTTGGCACAGTAAACCATCCTTATCACCTCCAGAACAGTGGGAAAACTGAAATCCAAGTTCCCGGATGCTGGCCAGGACCCAGTCTGGCAATCAGGTCTTTGTAGGGACAGCTGTCTTGAGGCTGGTTTTTTTTTGGTTGTTTTTTTTTTGGCACTGGGGATCCAACTCGGGTCCTTGTGCTTGCTTGCACAGCAGACGGCAATGTCTCAAGGCTGTAATGTTACCCTTTTCTGCACATTCACCCAGAGATCTCTCTCCCCAGCCCTAACACTGACCTTGGAGTTGTTCTGGATTCTGTCATGCAAGCTTGAGTTTTAGTGACCCTGTGAGTGATTACAGGATTTCTACTTCTATCCCTTTTTATCAGTACACAAGAAGTTTTGAAAAACATGTAAGTTGAATAAATTAGCTATTTTTAAAATGGGTAATTCAAAAGCTGAAAGAAAACTCCAAAATATCAACAAAGGATAATGCTATCCATATGATTTTTATTTTTACATTTTATATGCTTTCCAAATTTCCTAGAATAAACACAAGCTATTTTTATATTTAGAAAGCAAATAAAAGTAAATGTCAGCATCCAATACATCCTCTAAGTGATGCGCCTGTAGATTAGACACAGAATCTGCAGGCTTGGGTCAAGATCCACTGGGTATCTTTGACCCTAGGGATACTTGGCCACTCACACTCTGAGTGAGGCCCACATCACAATGCCTTTCTCCCTTTAGACTCAAATTGAGCACCATTTTCTTCCATTCAGCCCTTGTAGTTTAAACTCATGAAACATGATGGCTGATCCTTAAAACAGATTTGTCAACTTATTAACTGTATTAGTCGCCTTTTCTGTTGTTAGGACACAATCCCTGACACCCACAACTTAAGGAGGAGAGGTTTAGTTTGGCTCACGGTTTCAGTGGGTTCTATGGTCAGCTGGCTCCAGGCAGAAACTGCAGGTGGAAGGGCCTGGCAGAGGAAAGCTGCTCACATCATAGGGGCCAGGAAGTAGAAAGAGAGGGGAGGAACCAACCAGGATGGAAAATGCAGTCCTTCAAGTCATATCCCCAGTGACCTTCCACTTCCAACCAGGCCCTGTCTCTGAACCTGAGACTTTTGGGGGACATTTTAGATCTAAACCATAACATTAACTAAAAATTAAAATTTAGAAGACCCACTGATATTTTTCAGTTTCTGGTGGTAAAAGCTATAAACTGTGAGTGCTGCGGTCAACTGTTAACCATCCACACTGATAATTTTTTTAAATTAAAATCACTTTCCTAAGTATATCTTCCTGGAAATAAGGTTAAAAATTAGCTTGGTTGAATCATCCTAAAAAGTGTTCTAGGTGGTAGTAGAAAAGTATCCTACAGGTTTTTAAATTTGACATAAGCAATGCAGTAGTTCAAATTGTTACCATTTATTTCAACTTATGATATGTAAAGAGGATTTAACATAGATAAATACCAAAATCAGTACTCAGCTACTCTAAATAGAACCTACTCTTTTTTCTAGCCTCCCAGTCAAATGTACTTTCTTCATTGGTTTAATATCTTCACTTCCAAAGAACTGTACATCTGTGCCCAAATGTCTTAGTCGGTTTTCTTTTACTATAACAAAATATCAGAGACTAGGTAACGTATAAAGAAAAATGTTTATTTAGCTCACATTTCTGGAAGGTAAATGTATGCAGTCAGACAGCCTCGTGGGCTATGTCATAAGGTGGCAGATGATATCACGGCAGCTATTGCATGGCAAGACAGGAAGCAACAGGTATTTGGGGCCAGGCTTGCTCTTTTGATAACGCTCTTTTGATTACTCTCCTGGGAACTAGCCAGGGTCCTGAGGGAATGCATTAAACCTTTCTCAAGATGGGGCTCCCAGTGCCCTAGCTGCCCATTAGGCCCCACCTCTGAAAGGCTCCACTGCCTCAACATCACCACACAAAGAACCACACTTCCAGCACATGAACCCTTGGAGGACACCTCAAACTACATCTAAACCATAGCCTCAAACTGCATTTTCCATATAAGAGAGGAAAACATTAAAGCATATGTCAGATCTAACAATTACATTACCTATAGAAATGAGAGAATATGTGCAGTAAAAACATGTACAAAAGTGTTTACGGCAGTCTTGCTCATAATATCCCCAAGTTAGATGCAACTCAAATGTCCATCAGCAATAAAATCGATATATTCAAGTGTGCTGCATTTGTATAAGGGAATGGTACATGATGATGAAAATATAGAAGTTTGGCAAGATCAGAAGTGAAACTTATGGACATAGCATTGAGGACATGAAGTCAGGCAAGTAGAGATGTATGACTTCATTCATGCAAAGATGAAAACAGGCGAAATTCATTTGCACCATTGGAAATCAGGGGAGCGATTACCCTGAAGCGGGGAGAGTGTCTAGAAGGGGCCACACATGGGACTTCCGAGTGTCTCTTAATGTTCTGCAGCTCAGTGGAGGAGGAGGTGCATGAATTATTCATTTGTAAAAAGTCACTGCAACACAAAGAGTTATACACCTGTCTGTACGTTTTGCTACTCTAAAAACATTGACCCCTGCCGAAAAAGAAGTGAGGATTTACAAAGCATTTATACATCAAGAGAGACATCATTTATTTAAGTTCATCTAATAAATGATAATTCTGGGGACATGGAATATAATGAAGCATAAATAATGTGTACATTTCTTCAGTCTTCATGGGTCTGAATCAGAGGACATTCCCTTAACTCCAACACAAATGGCACCAGTTCTTGCTCCCAGCTGTCTTACTAAACCTCCTAGCATGACATCCTGTGTCCTACATTTCTGAGAGTCTCCAGAAGGTGTCCCCATGCACCCTCACTCTGCTGACAACGCCCATCCTCTATGCTGTGCAGGAGAGGATAAAGGAGAATGACGCGCCTATTCCTGTTGGAAGGTAAAACACTACTTCTGGAGTCTGAATATTTCTGTACCAAGCTTAGTGAGATAATTCCGTCAGTGTCCCCAGACTGTCCTGAGAATTCCCATGGATGTAGCTGGACCAAGGAACAGAACCAAGAATTGCTACACTGCCAGTTCCCTCTGATGACTAAGGCCTTTCCTGGAAGTTAATCATCGGGCTCTTTCTGTCCTCAGTGTGAATTCTCACCTAGGAAACTTCTCAGCCGTCCACAGCCACCCACAGCTTGCTAAAGTGCCCGTAGGTATCTACACCCCAGCACCAGGCATGCCTGACATCTTTCAGCGATGACTCCTCCTCACCCACACATGAGGACATCACCAAGCCTATCTCACCCGTCAGCAGGTCTTCCCAGACACTTAACACCTGTGCTAAAGCCCTGCTCTGCAACTCTAAGCCTGTACGGAGAATGCTTGGCTGGAAGATCCAAGCCACTAGTCTATCGAGCTCTGAGTATTTCCTAAATCTAGCCCAAGGAAGTTGAAATCATATGATTTTTAAAATTTTTAAAATGTCTCTGCTGTTCTGTACCAAAATTAATTATTTCTTTAGCTTTCATTATATTTATATCTAAGATGGAGAAAGTGCCATCTACTTTATGCTCTGGCTTCAGTGATATAAAATAATCAAGTTTTATTTATCTCCTTCACATTATGGGTCATTTTTTTGAGGTGTTTCGGTGCTTGAGTATCCGGAAGAAAGAAAGAGAAGCAAAGCTGTGGTTAGCATTGCAGTCACATCCTGCTGAGCCCTTCGCGGGGCGGTGATGGAGTGTTCAAATGGCAAAGTCCTCCCTCTGCTGGTATCAGTCTGCTTCTGTAGCTGAATCTTTTCATCAGAAATGTGAAAGATGACTTTTTATGAATCTGGATGAGGTGCAAGTTCGGGGCTTCATCTTAAGCTGGAAACATAATGTGGTCCAATGTCTGAGACACTCTCATTCAAAACTGATGGGAGAGACAGAACTTCCAGAAAGAAAGAGAAACAACCATTATCACTTGGCTTTGAGACAAATACAACATACTCTTTCCTGTGGCCTGAGATTTACTTGTATCTGAGCTACTTGCATATTCTTTTAAGCACAGTCTGATGGTCTGTCTTGTATTTGCATGTGAATGTGGTACCTTGAACTTGAGTCCATGGTCTGTGATCTTTTCCACCATTAGCAGGGAGCACAGAACTTTGTATACAGTGGGTGCTTGTTCAATGATAGCTTTGTTGGTGTTCCAAGTTGACCAATACTTTCAGATCCTTCTTCTACTACCTATAGGGAGGTCCTATAGTCATGGTTATAAAACACAGATCAGGTTGTAAAGTGACCACTCCCACAATAAGTATATGGCTCATACTCAAGGATAAGGTGGGAAAGGGGAGATAGAGAAAGGGAGTTCCCAGGAAATGGAGCCCTGGGGAGAAGATATCTCCTATTACTCCACAGTCCACTTGTTTTAATGGGGAAATCCAGGTACGCAGCAGTGGTCAATCATAGTAGTAGCTTAACAAATACAGAGTCTGCCCAAAAACTGTACACACACTTCAGCAGTTCACCATACTAATAAATGCCCAGACGCTCATGGCCACCACTTTGAGCCCCTCTTGTAACTGTAGAGGCCAAAGGTAACTCGTATAAACAGGTAACTTGTAAAAATCTCATGATGTCTCAATAAATCTACTATTAAAATATTTATACAAGTTTTTCTTTTCCTGATATATACAGTTTTTGGTGGACTCTATTTTCCCACTAATAAAGTAGAAACACGGAATTGGAAAAAGAAGGTCATGCTATGCAAAATTATGCTCCATGAACTACTATTTTAGATAACATAATCTAAATGCAAAAAATGCAAAAAAAGCAAAAAGAAGTCCTGTATTTGTGTATGAGATTGGCTTTTAATATATCATCCAGACTCCCAGCCTCCATCCTTAAAAATATTAAGTGAGAAATTATTTTCTCTGGATTTCTGTAAGTTTTAAACTAACAAATGTTACACTTTTGCATCTAAGCACTTTGCTAGTTAGGGTTTTAAGGATGATTAAACAGCACAGAGAGGTTTATTTGGTATTTGAAAACCTGGGGTTTGATTTACTCCCTCAATGGAATGAAATTCTAAAAGCCAATAATGTTTGTATAGGTGTCTCTGTGTTTTGCATGGTCAGTTTGTGCAATGAATCGATTGGGTGCAAAGGGCAAGTAAAAATGCAGGCCAGTGGGGAGTTTGCTTTCACATGAGCCCTGAGACAAGGAGACAGGGGGCTGTCCCTTGAGCGTGTTGCATCATGATCATCTGCTGAAACCCTGCAGTTAGCACACTCTTCACTTTCCTTCCTCGGTCAGGATTTGTTCATGTTTCTTTGCAAAATATTCCCAGAATTAATCTCCCTGTTTGTTCATATATGGAGCTGAAAGTTTTTTCTGAAATATCCATCTTCTTGCATTAGTAGTAATAACAGGGTAAAACAAATACATGTGGTATACAAACTCAGGTGGGAAACCCATGTAGTTTTATGTTTATGTCAGCTTGATTTCTAATTCAAGTCTTCTAGGACACAATACTCAACCCTCAGCAAGGGTTCCCCAGTGCCAAGTGGCCGGAGTGGGGCTGGGGAGCCTCCAGCCTTGCTACTTCTCCCCTGGGGTCCCGCCACCTGCCCTGGCTCTTCCTCAGCAGCAGAGCTGAGTCTGGAGCTCTCTGAGATGCTCCAGCTACAAGGGGGTCTGCCGCCTCCATCAGGAAGCAGCCTCCAGGCCCCTAGCTCACAATAGGTAACATCTCCATTTTCCCCATATCACTGTGTCACCTTCTCCCTGCTGCCCCACCCTCCTCAGACCCCAGCCCTATTCTGAATGTGAATATCTCCTATGTGTGCACTTGCAGTTGAGAGCCAGGAAGGCCCTCATCCTTCCTCAGAGCCTCTAAGCACTTCCCAGGGAGAGAGGGGAAGTAAACTCTTAGGAGAAAACTCAAACTTTGGTTGATATTTCAAAATGTAATGCCCACCCAGAAGTTTACATCTTACTCATGCTTTTAGCCTTTCCTACCACTCCCCATGGCTATCTTTTCTGAGCTAAGCTGTCTCTTGGAATGAGAAGGACAAATAACCTTACCCTTAATTTGAAGAATCTGAAATTGAGGCCCTGATTCTCTGGCATCGAATATTCCACAGTAGACACATCAGACGGCCAGTGATCTGAGGCACAGGGAGGCGGAGGGCTGTAAATCTTTCCAGCTCTTCAGGAACTCCTGCAGGACTGCCCCTAACATGCCAAACTACTGCACTGGTGAGCAACTCAAACATGACAGGAAGTGGAAGTGCCGGGAACATTCACTTGCTTCAGGACAAGCCACTACACTCAAGGAACAAGTGAACAATCACAGTCACCACCAGTTACAAAGATGGCATTTCGGTCAGCCTCCTGTCTGCAGGTACTACAGACGTTCACTAGTGTAACAAATCCAGGGGCTCAGTCAGCTATCTAAATATTTAAAACCATAGAGGCTAGGTCGACATCCATGCATGAAATATACTGAGTGAAATGTACTCACTTCCACTTACTAAGCATAAAGCTCAGCTCATCTTTTCTACCACCGCCCCCTCCCCCAGAGCACCAGTGACCAGTCTTGGGACCATTCCGGACCTGTCCCATTTCCCTGGACTTCAGAGCGGCAGGTTTGTAGGCCACAAGGTCAACAAACAGCACAGAAGCACAAAGTGAGTAGGGTAAGTGGGTGAGCTGAGAGGCGGTCAAGCTTGAGGCTTCATTAACAGACCCCAACTCCCATTGCAGGAAAGGGAAACAAACGTTCAAGGGCACTGAGACCTCTTCTGAAGTGAACTTGAGCAGTGACTTTTCAGCCTCAGTTTCCTCATTTGTGACATAAGAACAAAAACAGAACTTGCATCACAGAGCTGATGATACACAAACGAGGTAATATACTTTAAGAGCCTAACCGGAGCTCTGAATATGCTAGCGGTTCAGGTGAATTTGAAAGCTGTCTGCCACCATAGTAACCCCAACTCTGAGACACGGTGGACATTCACCTGCCTTTGATTCCCAATATCTTTCTGTGGTGGTGGCTGCCAGAATGGGCCCCACAGACCCCCAAGTGGAAAAAGAATAAGGAACCCAGGACTGGAGACAGCCTTGCTGCGTCTGCTCAGCCGCAGGATGCCCACCAACAGCTACTCCCCCACGACTACGCAGACCCCAGGGACTCCCCTGACAGCTGACTCTGGCTCCAGCACTGCCCAGTGGCCTCACTGGATCTTCCAGGGGTTGCAGAACAGCCTGGGATCTGCCCTCCTGCCCTCCTGGGTCAACTTGCACGCTGGTCTGACCCTCTCCCCGGCTAAGCTGGCTCCCTCCCCAGCACCTCTCCCACAGGCTTTCGCCCTAATAAAACCCTCACACATTGAATCCTGTCCTGGCATCTGCTTCTCTGAAGACCCGAACTAGCACACTTTACAGTGGTTCCTTTCCAACAATGAGCAGCTTGTGTTTGTTCTGTGAGGTCTGGACTGTTTGTTCAGCTATTTATAGCTGCTGTTTCACAGGGCATTGGTAGAAGAGAAACAGGAGTAAACACAGGTCATTGGAGGGAAGGTGGGTGCAGATGTGTGGGCCACTGAATTCCAATACTTCTCCAGGGACTCACAGTTTCTTTTCTTTTCTTTTCTTTTTTTTTTTTTTGGTACTGGGGATCAAACTCAGGTCCTTGTGCTTTCGCAGCAGGTGGCAAAACCACTGAGCTAAATCCCCGGCCAGGACTTACAGTTTTTGGTGTTTCTGGTCAGGGAGGAGCTGAAGGAAAGGTATTGAAAGATATGCATCTCCCTGGTCAAGTAACTTACATTCTCAAGACCTCAGGTCCCTGGGCTGAGACAGAAGGGGCAGATAGTAGATTCTGAAGTGACCTGAGAGATACCAAATTCTTTGTGTCTCAAAATTCAGTTATGCCTATATCATGCTTTTATGCCATCTCACACACCACCCGACTTACACTGTTTTTCTGGAAATAAATTCACTTTAACTTAAAATTCAAAAAAATAGTTTATATTGGCACATAAGCTAGGGAAGCATCACTTACCATAAATAGAAGACAACATTATTAAATTCTAGTTAGATGCTAAAACCTAAAGAAGATTAGAGTCTGGGCCTGCTCTCTGTGAAAAATGTAGATGAGCAAATGCTAAAGATATATGAACACCAAAGATTTTCCAGAAAGTCTAAAAGAGAAAGGAAAAGGAATAAGCAGCCAGCAGTGAGAACCCTCACCATAGAGAACGGAGCCTGGATTAGCCCTCAGTCACCTAGCACCGTCCTGTCCCCTTCAGCATGGCTCGAATGGCTCCCCCCTGCAGCTACAGTCTGAGTTTGTGGTTCACAGTTTTTCCCCCGGAGAGAGATGTTCAATTCAGGGGTACAAGCTCACTACCTGAATACAGAATGGAGAAAACAGAATGTCCATTACCTCATCATTATCCTGGGTTTCCTGCCCGGATTTAGTATACCAAGGAGATTGGGAGCCAGGATCCACCGCTGAAAAGGTCTTCAGCAAAACTAAGAAAGAGTAAGTTTGCTGTTGTGGTCTTCCATCTCTTCTTTCGCATCTCCTTGTAGTAGTCAGTTTTCCCATTGCTGGGAGCCATACCCAATCCCCACAAAGGAAGAGAAGTTTACTTTGGCTCACAACTTAGTCCTTGCATGGTCACTGGCTCCAAGTGGAAAGGGCATGGTGGAAGGGTCTGGGGGAGGAAAGCTCCTCACCTCATGGCAGTCAGGAAGCTGAGTGAAGGAACTATGGAAGGAGCTATAACCCTTCCACACCCTCAGTGACCCACCTCTTCAGTCCAGGCCCTACCTCCAACAACACATTTAGCTATAAACTCATCAGTAGACCAATCCATCCATGAGTATGGCGTCCACACGATCCAACTATCTCCCAAAAGCCCCACCTAAGAGTGCATGAGGCTTTGTGTGGGGGGTATCTAAACATAACCCATAAGACACCATACCCGACACCCACAATTTAAAGGAAGAGAGGTCTAATTTAGCTTAGGTTTTAAGAGGATTCAGTCCATGGTTGGCTGGCCCCAAGGCAGAAATATCATGGAAGAAAGGCATTGTAGAGCAAAGTTGCTCACTTCATAATGTCCAGTAATAGAGCAGGGGAAGTAGGAGAGAAAAAGGACCAAGTGAGATATATAGAAAGATGCCCCTTCCAGCACACCTCCATGACCTACGCAGCCACACTCGAAATGTGCTTTTTCTAATCCCTTGGACCAGCCACGTTCACAATCTACCTTAACCTTCACAGCCCTACCCTCCTCACTCCCAATCCAGGTCCTCAGACTTCATTTTGCCTCTGCTGCTTCCAGACCTCCTTGGGAGTACCCTTCCTTCATAATACAGCTTTGCCCAGTTTTCCTTCCAACTATTAAAGCTGACTGGACACTTTCACCCTAATATACAAATGACACCAAACTAGCTTCAGGCTGTGACTATCCTGTGAGTATTCAAAGCTGATAAAGTGACAATTTTTTGCTTTGTAATTTGTCAAGGACTTCAAACTTTATCACACCAACCTCGCTTAGTGTTAAAATGAACCATTTTGAGGGGGCTCCACTCTTATTCTTAATTCAAGCTATTTATGGCCTCATCCTAATCCAAACCCACATCCTCATCCTGGCCTCCTATCAATACTTCCCTGTGCTGCTCAGCAGTATTTCAGGTATTGCTAGGGCCCCACCCCATCTCAACTCTGCCCTGCAGGCTGGAACTGAAACTGCAAGCTAGGAATTCTGCCAGGCGTCTGGCCTGGAAGTTTCATTTTTACTGTGAAGCTGCATTTGATCTGAATGCAATAATCCTGCTCCCCTCTCACGTACCAACTCAACGTAATCAGCTTTGGAGAAAAAAAGAAAAAAACCCTGATATCCTAAAAAGTTTGCTTTTGCCAGGGTTTAACACACACACACACCCCACCGAGCTGGAGGGGAGGCAGAGCAAAGATCCGCCCTGTCTTACGGAGAAGTTTCTTATAAATAAGGAAACTAACCCGAGAAGGCGTCCTCCTCCCCACCCCAACACACGACCCCTCTTTTCTCTCCGCCCCCTTCCTAGGGTTCAGGAAACTCAGCCCACCAAGGCATAGACCCCATTCTTACCAACCCAACCCCAGACTGCAGCAGACAGGGGCGGGCTGGTTTGGGGCGTGGACGACAAGAAACCCACTGAGTCCTTGAGGGCTCAATGACTGCACAGAGGCGCCCTAAGGAATCGCGATGGGATAGACAGCGGGGCCTGGAAGGGGTCGGAAACAAGGGCAGCTGGAGCAGCCTGACCGCCAAGATCCAGTCCCACGACTCTCAGGGCAGACCCACTCGAGGTAAGAAATAATAAAACGATGGCCTTGCCTCTGCAAACAAATTGGCCAACAACCAAGCATTCGCACACAGACGACCTCCTGGGGCGGGTCCCAAGGATCTGCAGCCGGCGGGAGGCGGGGCAAACGCGGCCTCCCGGGTTCAGCTGATCCGAAGGGGGGAGGCGGCTCCGAGCGAGCGGGACGTGACCGCAGGTCCCCGTGCTGGGCTCCGAGTCCCGGCCGCCACGCCCAGCGCCGCCTCCGGGCGCCCCCTTCCCCCGCCCGAGCGCCTCCCACGCACGCGGAGGGCGGACCCCGGGCTCCGCCGATCAAAAGCGGTAGCGCGTGGGTGCCCCGCGCCTGTGTCCCGCCAGATCCCTCCCGCAGCCATGGCGAAGCCCCTGACCGACCAGGAGAAGCGGCGGCAGATCAGCATCCGCGGCATCGTGGGCGTGGAGAACGTGGCCGAGCTGAAGAAGGGCTTCAACCGGCACCTGCACTTCACGCTGGTCAAGGACCGTAACGTGGCCACCCCGCGCGACTACTTCTTCGCGCTGGCGCACACGGTCCGCGACCACCTGGTGGGACGCTGGATCCGCACGCAGCAGTACTACTATGACAAGTGCCCCAAGGTAGGAAGGCCGCGGGGTCGGAGTCCCCAGCCTGTCCCAGCCGCTCCCCGCCCCGGCCACGAAGACCCGGGACCGTCCTGGGCTATGGGCTGGACTGACTCGGCCTCCGCGCCAGCACTCACTGCCGGCCCGCAAACTTTTGGGGAGTGTAACGGTGTAAGGGGCCTTTGTCCCGACTGCAGGCAGCATTCCGGGTCTTGGCATTCCGCCTGCAAAAAACAGATAAATGCCCTGCCTTGGCCCCGCTTAGTGTTTGAGGAAGGGCGAAAAATAGAGTTCCTCAAATGGCGAGAAGTTCCGGCCTTCTCCAAGGGGGAGCTGCCTGGAGCTCGGAGCAGGGACGACCTTCGGACCTTCGTCCACGGTGCACGGTTCGGTGCGGGCTGCAGTGGAGAGTCTCCTCGGCTGCCTGGACGCACAGAGGGGCACTGCTGCTTCCTAAACAATCTGGGAAGGGGGACAAGAGGTCGGAGGGAAGAACTGGACGGGGACAGGACAGGTCGGGGGAGACTTGCGGAGTCAGGGTGAGAGCAGCTCTGTCCCTGGTGGGAGACTGGCAGAGACTGGAAAGGCTGGTCTCAGAGAAACTGAAGGACTGGGATATATCCTAAGGCAAAGGGAAGTGCATGGAAGTATTTATTAGGATTTTTAAATATGTAAAAGCATGAAGAGAAATGACCCATACTCCCAGTCCCTAAGAACTACAGGAATGTTGGTTGTTTTTTGTTTTGTTTCCTCACTCCTCCCCCACCCTGCACTGGGGAATGAACCCAGGGCCTTGACGCTGAGTTATATCCCTGGCCCTTTCTACTTCTTATTTTGAGGCAAGATCTAGTTAAATTGTCCAGGCTGTGCAGGAACTTGCGGTCCTCCTGCCTCGGCCTCCAGAGTGCTGGGCTTGCACCACCACACCCAGTTTAAGAATTTTTAAGAGGGGGAAAAAAAGTAAATTTTCCTGGGAAGAAATTGCAACTGTAACAACACTTTGGGTGGAAAGTTACCCAGAGGCCTAGCCATTGCTACCCAAAGGTACCAACTGCTAAAATGTAGCCTTCGAAATCTATATCCTTAGAAAACACTTTATATTTACTGTATCTTTTTATTTGCACAAAGGGCATGTTACAAATTATGCCATACTGTACCTTGCATTAAAAAGTGTATAACTTTTAAACTTAAGAGTAGAAAATCTCTCTCCCCCGCCCCTCCCTCCCTCCCTCTTTTCTCTCTCTCTCTCTCTCTCTCTCTCTCTCTCTCTTTT